GATGGCCGGGCTGAACCTCCTATATAAGGGGCTAATTGAACACTCTAAACTAGTTCAAGGGGCTATTTGACCCTTTAGCCTAAGTTTTATAATATCTATTACTCCGTATAAATAACTTCTCACACGCTCAAGCAAATACAAAAAATGGCCAATGAAAAATGCTACTACCTCCTTCCCTATATGGTCTTCCTGTTCACTATTGATGTAGTCCACTGAACTCTCTTTCAATATTTCGAATACTCTTATGATATTCAAATTCTTGTTTTGCTACTCAATAGAGTTTTTAGTTTGGTTTCTTAATATGTAAAATTTAGTTTTTACCATTAATTTTTGTGTTGCAGAGAGTAGTTAAATTCATCAATAGTTAAATATAGTAAACCAAAACAGGAAGATAGATTTGGGATGGAGGGGTTGTTTAAATTTTGAACCAAAGTTTATCAACTTGAATCCCAACATTAATGGAGGCATGAAATCTGACCCTGATTGCAGATGGATAACAGAGGCACTGCTCGACGAGGACTCAAGTTTGAAGGTGCACTCAAGCACAACTGTGGCGGAGTTGAAAGTGAAGATCAGGCAACAGGAGCTGAGTGGCTTGTGAAACACGGGCTTTCGAAGGAAGGTCACATTGGGCTCTACGGATGGAGCTATGGCGGATATCTGTCAGCTATGACACTTGCAAAGTTTCCAGAACTATTCAGATGTGCTGTTTCGGGTGCCCCTGTCACGTCATGGGATGGATATGACACATTCTATACTGAAAAGTATATGGGCCGTCCTGATGAAAACCCCTCAGGGTATGAGGAGAGCTCTGTGATGCACCATGTCAGCAAGATGAAGGGGGAGCTCATACTGGTGCATGGTATGATTGATGAAAACGTGCATTTCAGACACACTGCAAGGCTTATTAATGCACTTGCAGCTGCTGGAAAGTTTTATGAGCTGCTCATATTTCCTGATGAGCGTCACATGCCTCGCCGACATAGGGACCGTGTTTACATGGAATCGAGAATATGGGACTTCATAAAAAGAAACTTGTGATTTGTAAACGCTCTGCCCTTTCCATTTCTTCCTAGTATATTTAGTTATTTAGGATTTTCTTTCATTTATAATTTATGTAGTGAGGTTAGTACTTCCTTGATTGTGACAACCACTAGCATTAGTTTTAATTGTTGATATAAAAAATAAATTAGAATTTCACCGTGGACACACATAGCTGCTTGTACGCTGCTATGTACAATAGGAGTGCGCCAGGGTGCAAAGCAGGGGCTTTTGAAGTGGTACAAATGTGTTATGAGTTGTGAAACAGTGGTTTTTTTGGCTCTCAATCGGAGCAGGTATCCTAAACCAGTCCAAACTAGGGATGGACTGGGATGGTATGAACATCTAGGTGGCATCTAGGTGGCCCAGAATGTGTTTCTGTGCAGGTCTGGCCCGGCCGAGCCCGGTACTAGGCCTGGGACCCAACCCGGTTGAAGAGTAGGCGGGCATCGGGCTTTGGTTTTAGTGGACCAGCCCGGTCAGGCCGTGCCCGGCCCAAGCCTAACGGTCAAGAATTAAAAAAAAAAGGCTTTGAATGCTTTGGGTTGGCTGCTAGCCGTTGCCAACGGCTATAGAGCTGTTGGGGCCTTGGGGGTGGGTCTAGACGGGTTTGGGGTTTGGGGGTAAAAAAAACTATAAATACACCTATTTTCTAAACAATTTCCTACACTTATTCTCCAATTCTTCTACTGGGAGTATACCCTAGTTAGCTTTTTTCCGTTTTAAATGCGTTTTAAACACGTATCATTTTTTGACCAAAAAAACACGTTTAAAAGGGTGCAAATGTCGGTCCGTTTAAAAAGGAAAAAAACTCCTACTTCCCCGTATAAAACGTATTGTTCCCGTATTTTACAAAAAACGTAAACATGAATTGACCAATTGAATGAATGCACTAAATGCATAGAAGATCAACAATAGTGTAAAAGTAAAAATGAAAACGTCCTCCCCATAATCTCGTGTTTTTGTATTGTTACAGTGCAATTATTAAAAACTAAAATTAATTGCATGATGGCTAAAACTAGCATCTTGAAATACTAAAACTTACGCAGTAATATACTGCAAGATTTCTGATGTTTTTTCAAGCTAGCATATCAAAATTAAGATTTTTCTAAACCTACCGTTTTTTTAGCATACACTTTTACAAACAATAATAAGTGTAGCAATCACACAACTTTTGTTATATGTCATTTGTCATCTTAATGAAAATGATGAGTTTAACTTGAATGTTATTTGATAATCATATAAAGATAATGATTTTTTGACATTATTTTTCAAAATTATGTCTTAGACTTAATTACTGTTTTTATTTTTGTCATCGACTTATGCAATTACGAACTATACTTGTATGTAGTAATGCGATTTGCTACTTAAATATGTGTATACTTTTATTTCATTTTTACTATATATGTTATTTTATGAAATATATCATTTAAATGTTCAAAATAATACCCGTATTTTCGTTCGAATTTTTGTAATAGACAACGTATTTACATGTTTTTTAAAAGTCTACGTTTTTTTCAACGAATTTTTGACCGTTCTTTCATTCATGTTACCAAATAAAACGCGTACGTATTAAACCTCGTTTAATTCCCGTACCGTATTTAACTAACTAGGGAGTATACTACTCTCTAGTACTCTAATCATCTTTTTCTTCTTGAATTCTCTCTACACCTATTAATATATGGAGTATATTATATCTAATTATCTATTTGAATTAGTTATACATTATTATATCTACTTATATGGGGAGCTGCTTTTTGTGAGGTTATTGTCCAATGGAGAGAAGCTCGATCGTCTGAGAAGGGTTAATTTATTTGTTAGGGTTAGCGTTTTTTAGTGTCATCATTTTTTTCTAATTTTAAAATAATATATTTTTGTCCATCTAAAGTTTGAGAGTAATTTAAGTATATTCATCTTGACTTATTTAATGAGTTTTTTACAAGAATATTACTAAAATAAAACTTATTTACATAAATATGACTATTCATTACTACAACGTAGTGTTGTGGTAACTTAAGTTCAAAACTTGAACATGAATTACTATGGTTTCATCACTACTCTAATAACTAGTCATACTTTTGTAAATCATCTTTATTTTGGTCATATTTATATAATTATTTCTTATTTAATACAACTTGTGTATTCATTATTTGTTTTTGAAATAACAGTGTAAATTAAGAACGTATACTCTTGTCTAGTAATGTACCCCGTATTTAAATATGCTCTTAATTAGTATAATCTCAAAAAATAAGTTTTTTATGAACCCAAATAAATTATCGTACAAAACTTTTAAAAATAAAAAACTGATACAACTTTCTTTTTATATTCCGTAGTAGACAACACTATACTCTTATTTCACACTTAAGCCTAATTGTTTCAGAAGATATGTATGTATTCTGTGATGTGTAGTCCTAGCATATCATTATCTATATATATTGCACCGATACTTCACCTTGATGCCGTATCCGCGTATCCGATACGTATCCGTATCCGATACTCACCGATACGCGTCCTGTACGTATTGGGTCCGTATCCGTAATTTAATAAAAGTATCAGGCTTAATTTTAAAAATATCGATACTTCCGATTAGGGGTGCAAATGAGCCGAGCCGCTCGTGAGCCGCTCGCGAGCCGCTCGGTCAAAGCTCGAATCGGGATCGGTCAAATTCGAGCTCGAGCCGAGCTCGAGCCGGCTCGTTAAGCAGTCGAGCCCGAGCTCGAGCCTTCTAATTTCAGGCTCGCTGGCTCGCGAGCCGGCTCGCGAGCCTAATTTTATATGTGAATATTTATAATATATATATATATATATATATATGTATTATATAATCATATATAATATATTACTATGCAATATAAATTAATATATAATGTATACTGTTATAATGTACGGAGTAATATATATATATACTTCCTCCGTCCCCTTTTAAATGTCTCGGAAAAGTATGACACGAGTTTTAGGAAAAGTGGGTTTGTGTGATTGATATTAATTGATAAAGTAAGAATAAAGTAAAAATAATTTTGAACCACACAAACTTTACCAAATAAGGTATGAGACAATTAAATAGGGACATCCCAATATGGTAAAACAGGATATTTAAAAGGGGACGGAGGGAGTATATAATATATGCTGATTAGTAAAATTTTATACTACGTAATATTTTAGGCTTAGGTTGTTACTACTCAGTAGAAAAACTTAGAATGGGCCGATGACAGTGAATTTTTACTACGGACTCATTATGGAGCATCATAATGGTTATCGAGCCTCGAGCCGAGCCGAGTCGAACCGAGCCTTCTGCGAGTCGAGTTCGAGCCGCGATTTTGTAGGCTCGTTCGAGCCGAGCCCGAGCTCGAGCCAATGCTATATATTTCGAGCTCGAGCTCGAGCCTGTAGAAAATCGGGCTCGGCTCGGCTCGTTTGCACCCCTACTTCCGATACCCGTATCCGTGAACCGATACGCGTATCCGAACCTATAACCCCTCATTTGATACACAACATGACGATAATTCACTAGCCGCCCAAGCGACCACAACATGTGTAACATTGATAAAGATAGTTTCGGGAGTATGGAAAATAATGGAATACTATAATTTGTCATTTCATTGCTTGATGAGTTTTAATTGAAACAAGACTTGGATGTAAATGCAAATAGAGAACAAAAAAATGTTATTTGAATTTAAATCAAAATATCAATACTTTAGTTTTTTTAGACTAATCTTTGAAACTTTATTATAGTAGTTAATTTTTTGTACTATTATTATTTTATTTATGAACCCCTGAATTATATATATTTGCAAATTATACCCTATTTTTTTATTATTTATAAATATACCCCGTACCCGTATCCTATAATTTTTTAAAGTGCCGTATCACTGTACCTGTATCCGTGTATCCGAGTATCGGCTTATCCGTATCTGTGCAACACAGATCATTATCCCTCTTTTTTTTATCTCTTCTTGTATGTTTAATTTCCATTGATTTTTATTGTTTACTTTCTGTTTTTCTTTTACTGTGTGCAATGTCTGTATAATTTTTTCCAACTGTTAAGGCACGCATGGGCCTACGTATCTTATTGTTTGTATCATTTGTATAGTTAATGGGCTATGGCCTTAATTGTGAATAGGGGTTACTCACACTTGTATAAATATGGCTATCATGAATAGAATTAGGGGAAAGGAATTATTTTCCAACTTAATTGTTTCCCAAAATTGATATACGTTAATATGGTATCAGAGCCCCAGTGAGCGGCACGCATCTGTTCGGTCGTCTTCTTCCTCGCAACACGCAGTAGCCGCACCAGCGTGCAGAGCACTGCCGAGCCATGGGAGACGACGCAACTGCTTCTCGCCTAGACCCATCTTCTCCATATTATCTGAGTGCAGGAGATCAACCAGGAAATTTGATAACCCACATGATTCTCAACGGAGAAAATTATGTAGCATGGTCGAGGGCTTTCAGCCTGTCATTGAAAGCTCGACAGAAGTTCGTATTTATTGATGGCACGCTCCGAAAGCCTACTGATGCAGCAAGGGTTCTGGATTGGGATACGAATAACTCGATGATAGTCTCCTGGATGTTGAGGAGCATGGAATCGAACGTGGCAGCATCGATTCCATTCCACGACGTAGCGCGCACTCTCTGGCAGTACCTCGAAAAACGTTTCAGCGAAGCTAATAGCCCGCGTCTGCAACAGCTCCGCACCTCTATTACAAACTGTAAACAAGCAAAGACGATGTCCGTTGATGAGTACTTTACAACCCTTATGGGATTGTATGATGAACTCAATCGCTTGAAACCATTGTATAATTGTACCTGCGGCAACTGTACGTGCAACGTAGCAGCGAGGTACAAAGCTGACCAGAATGAAGAACAACTTCATCAATTTCTAATAGGAATTGATGATGAGATTTACGCCACAGTCTGCTCCAATTTGCTCTCTCAAACTCCATTGCCAGACCTTGCACGCGCACATCAAGCCTTTCTCCAAGAAGAACGATCTCGCTCAATTGCGCGGGGGAAAAGCATTGTGAGTGCAGTAGAGGTCCTGGCTTTCGCGTTGCAGGCAGAACGCGTCAAAGGAAAACACGACAAGGCTGAAAAGGCACGACTTACGTGCACTCATTGCAGACAGAAAGGCCATGACGTGACTATGTGCTTCAAACTGATCGGGTATCCGGAGTGGTGGGAAGAATGTAACCGGAACAAAACTCGGACGGGAGGTCGTTCCCAGCCCTCCACTTCGTCAGTAGCAGGTTCGCGTGGAGCAGGGAATGGAGCCCGGGCACATGCAGTGACTTCTCTGGCAGGTCCTCCGGCTATTGCTCCGGACTCTTCTTCTACTGGCAATGGGTATCATCCGCTGGAAGACTTGACCAGGGAGCAAGTTGATGCACTTTTAAATATTATTAAGGCTGAGACTCGCACCACAGACCGAATGTCGGGTACGTGTGGTTCTTTTGATTGGATATTGGATACAGGTGCATCTCGTCATGTAACAGGAGAATTGTGCCGTCTCACTGATGTTGCTACTATTCCCACTTGTGCGGTGGGTTTGCCGGATGGCCGTACCATCTTTGCCACTATGGAGGGGCGTGTGCACCTGTCCAAAGATCTTGTTCTTGATAATGCTCTTTATGTTCCCAAGTTGAATTGTCATCTTATATCAGTTTCTCAATTGACCGAGCAATTATCTTGTACTGTTACTTTTACTAATTCCTTGTGTGCTATACAGGACCTACGCTCGAGGAGCGTGATTGGAGCCGGTGAGAGACGGGATGGGTTGTTCTTCTTCAGACGGGTTCCTGCTTTGCATGTTGTAGAAGTATCTGGATTAACTGATTTTGAGCTATGGCATCGCCGGTTGGGTCATCCGTCAGATCGGGTTCTCAAATTGTTACCTGCTATTCATTATAGTAATTATAGAAAATCTCTCAATAAAGCTTGTGTAATATGTCCACAAGCCAAACAAGTTCGCGATTCGTTTCCTACTTGCACTAATAAAGCTCATCATATTTTGGACTTAATTCACTGTGATTTATGGGGCCCTTATAAAACACCTTCTAGTTGTGATGCAATATATTTTTTGACTATTATGGATGATTACTCTAGAGTTGTGTGGGTCTATTTATTGCGTGACAAGGAGGTGTACAAATATTTTGTTTCATTTTTCGCTATGATTAATACACAATTTGCCGCAGTTAAAACGGCAACACAATTGATATACGTTAATACTAACAAATGGCAACACTGTTTGTAAAAAGTGAAAAATTCAAAATTGAACTGAAACGAATTTCAAAACGTGATTTCATATTTTGAAAGATAAAATCGAACCAAACTGAATTCACCGCTAGTGCCCTTAGAATACTAATTTACTTCAGTTACCAGTTCGAATACTGGTACTTATTATTGTTATTAATATATCTAATTATGATATAATTTATGCATATAACTTGATTGAATATTTACCCAAATAAGATCAAAATGTAGCATTTATCTGAAAATAGAACCTAAGTTAAAATGCCTCAATATGACTTTTTATTATTATTTGTGATTGGATAAATATACTTTCATAGAATTAGAGACCGGATTATTGCCCCCAAGTCACCTGACCGCTGCCGGACTTCCGTTGCCGAATCCCCCCCCCCCCCCCTTCATCGTTGCCGCAAATCTAACAGAAGTTGTCCCCCGAGTTCACAGCCGCCACCGAGCTGCCGAGTTCACAGCCGCCACCGAGCTACTGCCACCAGAGTTGACATGTTATCAATGGACTGATCTTGGTTATGCAAAGGAACTAGGGGAACTAGTTACTTGTTATTATTCATCATCATCATCATCATCATCATTACTCCAATGTCGTAAAGGCTCCCACCTACGGTAGGGTAGGGGGGTCGGATGTATGCAGCCTTACCCCTATACTAAAGCACAAAGAGACTCTTTCCGGATGATCCGGGGTGAAAATCGCATTGAAAATTGCATGACTGACTGCTGCTTTATAACAAAGAAGCGCAAACAGTTTAGTGAGTCATTTTATACTCATATACTTTATTCCATGATATTCTCTAGCCCAATAATCAATCAATTATTTGGTTTTAGTTTGAGCAATTTCCTCTTACTTGACTTCTCTACTTTTGCAGTTCCCTCTCATTTTGTATTCTTTTATCTTTTAAAAGTCAAATAATGTACTTAATTGGCCCTTGAAAACATAATTATTGGACAGCTAGTAAGGGAAAATACACACGCAACGACACTATTCAAAGTGTCTTTTTAAATTTTGCGGGAAAAAGTTGCGGTAGGGTTTTCACACAATTAAGGAACTCCTTTGAAATTATTCAAATTATTATTAGGGACCTGCTTTAATTTTTTGAGAACTTTTCAGCGCGTTGCTTACCATAGGAGGAAAACTTTGGTCATAGACTTGTAACTTGTTGGGAGAGAAAGTCCCACAAACAGGCAACTTGTTTGAAGGAAGGGTAAGGTATTATAATTGAATATAAAATAATAAATATTGAAAAGTTAATTGATTGATATGTAAAATGTCTTAAAAAGAGTAACTACTGGTAATGGAATATCTAGTAGCTAACTTTGAAGTTGGTCGTACTTGCAATGTGGATTGACGAACCAAAAGTCCAAAATAAGGAATTGTCTTAGAATTAATTATACGCAGTAATATATATTGATTTTAGTAGAAACATTATTTTTCTACACTTAGTATAATAAATTAGTATTACGTATGATTAATTTTCCCTAACTCTTTTACCTAATTAAGGATTTAAGGTTAGTCTGTTGATGAGGATGCTGATCTGATGACGGCATCAATTTGGCGGTGACGGCGGAGTTGTGGTGATCCATGGCACTAACATCAAATTTTATGGTGGATCATGATCTACATTCCCAAAAAACTATCACTTTCAGTAGGAAAACATAATAATTAAATAGTGAACATGACATGTTCTGCAAATAACTAAACCTCGATTAAGAATAAGGGATAAGGGTCAAATAGGGTCTCGAACTTGAAAAAAAATGTCAAATAAGGCCATATTTAGGATGTTCTGTCCGGCCGACGCCATTTGGGGCGGTTCCCGATGGAATTTTTTGATGAAATTTTTTGAGAATCTTATTTATTAAGTCTAGTTTACTCATATCAGATTTGAACTAAAACTTCAATCGGGAAGACATTCAAATGAATTCTTGAAGATAACTGTGCAGTTAAAAGCGCAATTATCTTCAAGAATTCATTTGAATGCCTTCCCGATTGAATTGGTAGTTCAAATTTGATATGAGTAAACTAGACTTAATGAATAAGATTCTCAAAAAAAATCATCAAAAAATTCCACCGGGAACCGCCCCAAATGGCGTTAGCCGGACATAGCAGCCTAAATATGGCCTTATTTGACATTTTTTTCGAAGTTCGAAGCCCTATCTGACCCTTATCCCTTAAGAATAGGCACAAACATAAGTTATATGGCTATATCAATATATTTCAATTATAATTTTAGTTAGTATTTTTTTTAGAGAAGAAAGCTTATATTATATTAAAGTAAAACATCATCCAACCAACATCAACAATACCTTTCCACCTTCAATCCAATCATAAGCTAAAAATCTCCTTCAGTCGCTGATGAGACATAGTCCACCCAGTGCCGATCCTACCTAAACTTGAGCCTGAGTCGAGTTTCATAAATGGGCCCTATACATAGTGTTTTTTTTGTCATACAGATTCATTAAAATTCAATGATTAAATATCACAAAAACGCAATTCTTAAATTTAAGTGTTACATTTTAGAAAAAATGATATTGGATGTATTAAAAACTAATTAAGTACAACTCGTCGAACATTTCTAGATGCAAATATATTAATCAAGTCTGCATGATCTATGTTATCAATAAATAACTTCTCAATTGATAGCATAGCTAATTCATTCAACCCTTTTCAGACATGCTTGAAGATGTACTCTCTGAAGTGCCTCTTTTATTAGAAATTAACTACTACATGATTTTATTTTTCCGGCCTGACTTGATCGAGTTAATGATTCATTGATTCAATACGTGATTTTATTTTCCTCTTTTGAAATCGAGACAAAAGTTTGGGACCCATGGTACAAATAAGTAAACACATAATTTAGTGGAATCTTTAACAATATATGTTAGTAATTTTCTCTATAAAGTTCAAAGCATTTAATTTAATTAATTGTGAATTGAGAATTCCGTAATTACAATATTGATAACACTAAATAAAAAAAGCGAGAATCAACTAGTATTTAATTATACATTACATTAGCATTTAGAAAAATAATATAAAATTAGAAAATTTCTGAAAATACAAACAAATAACTAAATAAGTAGATAAAAAACATAGACAGATAGAATTAACTATAGAACCTGGAGCGTAGAAGCCTAGAAATATAAGTCAAACTGCCCAAGGGAAAACAAATAAAAAATAACAAGAAAATACATATGTACGAAGTATAATACTAATAAATATAAAATTTTGAGCCCCTAAATTTTACAAATTTTTGGGGCCCTGAGGCCCATAAATGCCTCTCCAGCCTTACATAAGGCACGGCCCTGAGTCCACCCATAAAAAGCGAGTCTAATCACTAAACATACAAGAGATTCGAAGCTACTATCGGCCATATCAACCTGACTACTTCCACAAGAACTTATATCTACCAAAGTAAGACCCAAAACCTTCCTACCATCCCCAGAGTTCAAAGCAACAACGAAATTAAAGTACTTAAACATAAAAATAACCAAAGCAGCATAAAAGAAATAACTAACAAAAAGCTGACGAATCATCCCTACGCTATCTTTATTCAGATAAATCCCGCAAGCTTGTCAAAAGTGTGTCAGGCGAGTTGCAGGGTTGCAACTCGCATCCTTTCCGGTTTTAGTTGATTGGCTCCTTCTCCTCTTGATCAATTCTCTTACGTTTTTGATCACCTTTGTCTTCTGTCTGCGCCTGTGGTATTCTAGTATCCAAAGCACAATGACTTCCCACACTAGCGCCCCCCCCCCCCCCCCCCCACTTGAGAGTTGCCTCTTGCCAACCGGTACCAGTCACTTATTGGCCCTTAACAAGGCTCAAACGGTTTTCCCCCCCTCTCGCATAGCCTTAAGGGTTATATGGATAATACTTCTCACCATGCCCAATAATGTCACACAAGAAACAGAAGTTAGGTAGTTTCTCGTATCGGAACGTTACACGAAAATTAACCCCTACTTCTTTTTGAAGGAGCAATTTCCTTTTTAGAGGCCTACTTAGATCCAAACAAACCCAGATCCTCATGATTGAGTTCCATTTAACTGAAAAATTTTGCTCATCAACCTTACTAAATTTTCCCAAAAAAATTCCCAATTTTCACCACATTGTCTATTTTAAAATAGCCCACCGGAATGTCATGAACTTGCACCCAAAACTCAGCTTTATTCAGGGGCACAATCATAGGTAAATCCCAGACCCTTTCCCAAGCTTATGCAGAATGATAAGGTTTTGATCATATATCCAGGGACCTTCCTCTAAAACATGCATTGTATGATTCTCATTATATTATAGAATTGAAACATATAACGCATGTTCCCCAACTGAGGGATAGTAACCCCCTTAGTCGGTCTCCACTCGGATGCCATAATATCACGAAAAGAAGATAAATGCATTGACGTTTCCATGGTGATAGTCCCTACAACTCCTCTCCCCTGCTCCAGGAGCCATGGCTTCCACTAGTATGATCTCATCGTCATCATTCATCTCCATGTTGCCATATTTGTGTGCTAACCTCTCCACATCTTGTTGTGCGTTAGGTGTGTCTATCTCCAAATTAGAATTGTACCTGGCTTCGAATCTTGTGCGCAGAGCAACCCTCCTTCACACAAACGTCCGCCCCAAACCTATCTAACAACAAGAAGACCAAAACTCCTGCACTCGCCGATAGTTCTATTTACCCCCTCGCTGACTCAGGGAGATCTACTTTGTAGATCCGCTGCCTTCAACCATGTTCAAACTTGCGCCTAACCTAGGCTACCATCCCGCATTTTCTGAAACTTTGTCTTTAATTTTACTTAGTTTTTATCGTGTATATACATGAGTAATCAAATATATCTCGTTCTCAATATATTTCAATTATTTAGTTAGTTTAAATATAATCCATACACAAATATTCCTGCCGTTCGAGCACCTCATTTTAAGGTGGTTCCAGATGGTTTTGTTTGCAGAAATTTTGTGAGCATGTTACTCATGAAATGTAGATTATACTCATTAAATTTTAGCTAAAAATTAAATCGAAAAGACATCAAATAAAATTTTAAAACTCGCTGTGTTTTATATGTAAATTTTGACACAATTATCTTAAAAAAATTGCACTACTAATATTTTTTTTTATGGAAATTGCACTTTTAATATGTTTTAGTCATTTTATAAGAATGTTTCTTCATTAGAATGTTTTTACTTGAACTGTAATTTGTCCCAGACCGTACCAGACCAGTTCAGACCAAACTTGGATAGTTATAAAAATACAAAGAAATCAAATCTTACCAGACCAGACCAGTTCAGACCAACAAGTAAAAACATCCTAATAAAAACATCCTACTAAAGAAAACCACCACATTCCATCCCCAAGGCCGAGGTCAATGCATTTATACTCTCACCGACCGACAAGTACACAAGGCCAGCATTAATGCTGATTGAGTAACATAAATGATTGAACATTAATCAATAGACTTTCACGTCACCATATATACACTCTCTTCATCAAATTTCCAAATTAAACTGATCTTTTCCTTATGAATCGTGACCACCTACTTCAATGTACTAAATACAGGATTGTTGAATGAATTGCAATCAATACAAATAAAGAAACCCAAACTTCAGAGTTACAATGTCGATCATCGTCCTAGCTAAGCTAGCTTCCACGTCAGCAATCCACATTAGGTATACATATTTTGTAGTTCCAAATAATTGCCTATATATAATAATTAAATTATATATATGATCAATTGATCATCTATGTAATGAAAGTATGAAACCAATTTATGTTCGTTGGTGTATAATTGTCATGTAAAGAGTATTATACGTATATATATGTAGTATGTACTACCCGCCCGGCCCAAATGTAGTGCACATAAGAAATTAACAATTAACCAACACCCGGCCCAAATATAATTTTACCTAGTGCGGAGTATTTATTAAATACTCCGCACTACAAAGTAGTAAGTCCAGACACAAAAGCAACACCAGTTTGAGGAAGCCATGTTGACCCAAAAATGAACTTAGCAACGGTGTACATGCCAGCCTCATATGCGGTTTTGAGAACATGAAATCCGGACCACTTCACCCGTTGATCCAGCCACGCCCCGCGCCCGGTGTTATTATACTCAGCGTAGTACAACGTGTCAAAGGCAAATGTCGCGTTCCATTCCAGCCAGCCCTGAGGATGAACATGATTGTCGATGAACGACATCATGACGACGGCTCTCGAGTACATTTTCCATGGTCGTCCTAAATAGGTCGAGAAGTTCGCCTCGAATGGCTTGAGGTCATTGTCCGCCAAAATGCTACAATTGTGGATGGACATGCCCGTGTTTTGGTAGGGGTCTTTTCGGCTTTGGGCCGTGATGGTGTTCTTCTGGCTCAACATTGGCTTCCGGGCGTAAATGTTGCAATTTTGGAAGACCACGGCAGCGTTACCGAAAATAAAGTCGACTGTGCCGTAGATGTCACACTCGCGGAAGAACTGCCGCTGCGAGTGAACGTAGAGGGTGTCTTGGTACCCTTTGATCTCGCAGCGGTAGATGACCGAATGATCCGAACCCACCCTGAGAGCTACCGCTTGGTGCTTCGCCGCTCCTGCCCAGTTTTCAAAGGTTATGTCCCTTGCAATGAAACCGTTTCCAGTCGCAGCTGTCAAACAAAAAATAATATGGTTAATAAGTATTCTTTCTATACCAAAAAGATTAAGTGATCAAGATTTACGTAGGGGCAATGATTAAGTGATCAGAATTAAACAGCGTTATATGAAATATATTTTAGTGGCTCTTTAGCAACACTATTTTTCCACTTATCAGGCTTATCAACCAACTAATTCACCGAACACGTAATTTTTGCTTTCGCACACCGAATTGTGTAATAAGCAGAATAAGTAAAGTTGAAGTTACTTTTCTGACTGTATTGACTGAAGTTACCGTAGATACCATTTTAGCTATTTTTACGTATAGTTTTTGACTTTTTTCTTTATTTTATTAATAAAATATATTTTAATTTTTTTCCCTTAAATCAGCAGAATCAGCCAATGCAGCCACCTTAGCCAGAATTTCATAGATTTCAACAGAATCAGCCAAAACAGCCGATTTTCGTGAGATGAGCTCTTAATTTAGAGTAGTAAGTGAAACATGTTCAATTAAGAATACTCCATCCAAAGTTTGATTAATGAAGTGCTTGTAGCCACTTGCCAATTATTTGAAACGCGTGGGTTCCCTATGATTACATAAAAGCTGACAGGCCACGTGTAATTACTATCTACTTCTTCAACGTGCTCATGCATGCAGGGCCCGGGTACTCGGCTGGGTCGGTCATAAGTCATAACTCACGACGCGTTTTTTTTTTTGCGCCGCACACATATATACTAATATACTAATCCTACATGTTTTAGTTTTACGTGTTAAATTTTTTTCTCTAATTAAATTTTCAAAATTTGATTTCTGATTTTTTATTTATAAAGAATTAAGTGTACAGAAGGTCAAAATTATATGGCAATAAACATGAAAATGAGAACATTGAAACTAAAGCGTGTTTGGAACTGATTCTGCTTCTGCTTCTTTTTAAAGCAGAAGCAGAATCAGAATCATTTTTCAGAAGTCGGTCTCCCCCAACTTCTAAAAAACTTATTCTAGGAGTAAATTAGAGCACCATAATCACTTCTGCACTTTTATAACCAGTTTTAAAAATCAGATCCAAACACCCCTAAATTTGATAGGAGAAGGAGCTAAAGAGAGTGCCAAACTTGGCACTCTCCTATCCTAAATTGAAAATACGGAGGATCTCTTATGTTTCAGGTGAAATATTTCGTGTTTTCTTTAATGAATAGTCTTTGTACCGGTCCAATCCGTCCCTAAATGTGATGATTCTCGGTTGCCCCAAAATAGCTTCCAAATTTGATTTACACATATCTATGTAAGAAAAATGTGTTGTTTTGAATTTGTAGTTATACCATTATTTTATTTCAAATTAAGCATAAAGCAAAGATAATTTTGACATATGCCACTAAAATTTATTTCGAAACAGTTAATTAAAGAAATGAAGATGTTGCTTTCAGATGGATGGAGTATGTATAATCTCTGCACATTATATTCCGGCAATTATATTAGGAGTGATATATAAATATAAATGCTGAAGCGGAATTTGAAAAAAGAAATACGGAGTACCAATTATATTTCAACGTGGATAGAAAAAGAAGAAAACTAAAAGTCAAGAAAGTAGAGGTTACCGAAAGAGGCGGTTTGGAAGGTGGTAATGTTATCGAAGACGCTTCTTCCTCCTGAAATTATTGTTTTGCCGATTCCATCTCCTACCAGCATTATATTGGTTTTCTTTTTTCCAATTTTCAGATTTTTCTCCTCGTATCTGCGTCAAACACAACAAGTACTTTAAATAAATAAAATAAAATAACAGTTTCACACGAAATACAGTTCTTCGATACCAAAACAATTTACTACTAGTTCTTCCTTTATCCAAATTGATACCAAAATTTAAAAAACTAAAGTAGGTACAAAAAAAGAATATAAAAAACTTAAGAAAATGCATATCATATACGGAGTACATGGCAATTTTGATCAAAGATATCTTTAATACTGTAAAAAGAATAAAATCTTTTGTAACTTACACCATTTTCTATTTTTAATGAGTATCATATACTATCCTTTTAAAAAGCATTTACTCGTTTTTTGGCAACTTTTGACTTATTGGCTTCTAAAAACTATAAAGTACAAGTGTAGCTTAAATAAGGTTTAACGTTAAACTTTTTTAAATAGAAGTTGCAACTTTTGACATATGGAGACCGGAGAGAGTTTTGAGACGAACAATTCGACACGAAATTGTATGCCACCTAATAGCAAGTACACACGGTTTCTCATATGTGAAGCAGTCTCCATATATATTTTGCATTAGAACTTTCCTATTCTGCCCTTCCACATAATAATTAAAAAGGAAAATATTAAAAAGTTGTCAAAGTTAGTGCTGTAAACCATAAACACTATAAAAAGCAGATTGATTATTATCATATCATATTAAAAGGAATTAGATGTTAAAACAGTATTTAATTTGGAGTTATGTTAAAGACTGGTTAATCATGTAACTTCTTGATTAAGGAATTGGTCAATTCAGAGTTTGAAAAAGGTGAATTGAAATGTCCTCCATCATGTTTTACATGGTTTTGATTATTGAATTGAAGTTTGCTCACTGTGAATTTAATAAATCATTTAATATATGTACACATTTCTGATTGGTATGAAAATTATTTAGAATATAATGTTTGTATTTGATATATTCCTATTAAGTTTATTATAGACTTTATAACTTATAACTAGTGAGATAGATACCACTAGTAAGTAAAATATGAGTAAAATGTTTGTGAATTAGAAGTAACTACTGTCAAACTTGAAAATATTGTCATGTTTAAAGACATGTTTAAAGACATGATACTGCAAAAACATGATAACTATTACTCATATTTAGAGAATAAAAATATTATAATTTATTTTAGAATATATATATATATACATACACATTTTTAGTCTTATTTAAATTACTTTCATATATCTACCTACCAAATAGAAAATGTATATGGGATAAAGGATTGGGACCATCTTACAATAATAAGAATATAATCTTGGTTCATAATGCGGAGTAATTTAAAGCATACTATCTCCTTCCGTCCCAAATTGATTTACAAATTTGACTTTTCTTGGTCAAACAGTTTCATTGGTCAAACAGTTTCATTTTAATTTATTCGCTTAATTAGAAAACCAATTTTTAATTATATTCTGATTTAAGGTTTGCAACTTTGAAGAGATTTTAATGTAGTTTTTGAAGATGTAAAATTTAATTATCAAAAATTGAGTTAATTATCGATAGTGATGATTACTTTTATTATTAGTTGACCAAAAAATGTTGACTTTTATTATTCCTATTGTATCTTTGTTTCCATTATACTAATAATTTCCTGTAAAATTCAAAAACTCATTAGTTAATTAATTAATTAAATTAAAGAAAACATTTTCAGAAGATCTCTTACCTTCCTTCCGTCACGTAAATGACTGTCCGGGTAGTACAGTTTTCCGGCACCAACTTGATCGCTTGGCCGATCGTCTTCACAATGATCGCCGGTCGTGTCCGATTAAATGTTATGTTGCCTTTTGATACGATGATGTCGGCGGACATATTCCACGCCGGCGTGACAATCAGCAATTTCCGTTCCCTCCGAGACACCCATTCCGGGAAATCCTCTTGCTCCAACAATCTCCGGCGGCGGTGCTCAATCGGCACTCCGTCGAAGTCTTCTTTACCCTTCTTCGTCTGCGCGACGATGGACAGAGAGTTGCTCACCAGCTCGGACAAGTCCTTCAAATTCTCCGTCATGCGGGCCTTCACCGGCGACCCGGCGCCGGCTTCCAGAAGCCCCTCTGCGCAGGTGTCCTGGTTCGTCAGAGCGGCGCTCAGCCACGTCTGGACGTCCTCCGACGACCGCTGATCTCCGATGGCGGTCAACGACTGGGACAGAAGGTCCACCGACTCGGCGAGGAGGTCGAGGCAGGTATCGTACGCCGACCGCTCCAGGGCACTCATCGGAATGGTGCCGATGTCGGGCGCCGAGGTCAACGCCAGCCCGAAGTTATGCAGGGTCAAGTTGACCGAGGCTTGACTGACCTCGGCGCTGTTCGCCGCCGTGAGGGCGCCGGGAAAATTGAGCAGCGAGTCGACGCAGAGTTCCGGGTACCTAGCCATGCCGCAGGTATTGGAAATTGCCTGAGTGGGCCTCACATTAACCCTGACCTCCTCCGATGATTTCCCAAATCCCACAAAAGCCACCACCCCAGCGGCGGAGGCGATCAAGAACACGGCGGAGAATACGAGCATAAGAATTTTGGTCCTGCTGCCCTTTGCGGCGGCGGGGGGAGCCGCAGCGGCTAGCTCCGACTGTTTCTCAACGTCGTCGGTGGAGTATTCACCAACAGCTGGTGGGGGGACAGGGGATCCCAGTGTACGGCCCGCCATGTGGGAAATATAGATTCCTTAAATTAAAATTGAAACCAAAATGTGGGTTTGTATTTATTTATTTATTGACGAGGAAAATGAATAAAGAATCGGAAAAATAAAAATGGAGTGGCGAGAAGTGAGAGTAGCGGTGGGGGCGTGAGTGAGTATATATAGTAACGGTGGCAGAGTGGGAAAGGGTAGGTGGAAGGTCAAGGTCCAGAGGGGGGAATGAGCTGGCCTAGACGCAGAGAAACCGCCCTTATTTTCTAGTGACAGCCGGTTCCAGTTTCCTGCTTTTTCTTTTTTGTTTTTTGCGCGTTTTAATGAGTGGCCTAATAATCAAAACACAAAGTGACGATGGACTTGACGATCCTTGTAAACAACAGTGAGCTCGAGCCCTCAAGACAAGGAACGCGTGGGCCACGCCACCCGCTTCAGCAAAAATATTAAGCAAGCTTATTTGGCTCAAAGCATGGACGGACACCACAAATCCACAATGACATAGGGCCCTAGTAAATTGTAGCCCAAAGAACAAGTACTGCGTATTATATGTAACAATATTACCCGAAATAGGACTAAAAAGGTTTGAAAATTCCAAAATAACTGCGCAGTTAGAAGCGCAGTTATCTTCAAGAATTCATTTGAATGTCTTCCCGATTGAAGTTTTAGCTCAAATTTGATATGAGTAAACTAGACTTAATGAATAAGATGCTCAAAAAAATTTATCAAAAAATTCCACGGGATCCGCCCCAAATGGCGATGGACGGACAGTAAGGACTTATTTGACCCTTTTTATGCAACTTCGAGTACCAATCTGACTTTTACCTCTTATAAGTTATATATAACCCATGGAAAATATGTTCAAAAAATGCATCTTTTGAAAAGAAATCCACTTGCTATTCAATGCATTTCTTTTGATTGTTTTGTTAATTAATAACTTGTACTTATTATTTACATAAGATGCTAATAATAATTTATAATTAACATAGTGTTGGATAATTGATACCCATATCGTATAAACAGGAGAAATTGAACACGAATCAAAAGAAGTAATGGAAGTGTATAGAAAGAGTGAATATTTGTTATGGTTTACAAGCCTTACATAAGGGAGTATATATAGGGAAAATCCGGGTCTGGACCTCTAATATGGGCCTGACAGACCCGGTTACATAAATGGACTGATAGTATAAAAAACTAATCTAGAACATCTGAATAATAATAATAATAATAATGTACAATAATATTAATGATATCTGCTAAACGTTTGTGGGCCGCTGTCCAGGCCTAGTAGTCGGCATACCGGGGGGTCGGAGTCCATATAATCCATCAGGAGTCCCCCACTCCCTAAGTCGAGAGTACTCGAGGCGAAAGGGAGTAGTCCAAACTGTATCTGCAACGCTCTTCCTCTTCGGCCAGGGGACCACCACCCTTGTCCATTATGGGGAGGTGCCTCGTTAAAAACCTTTACTAGGAAAAACCCAGTGGGAAAAAATCCTAATAAAGGGAAAAAGAGTACACCTAGCGCCCCCAACATGAAACAAGGTAAATCCCCTCCGGCATAATCAATCTAGCTCAGCTCCTCTTCAACTGACTCAGCTCTCGTTCCTGCTCTTGCGTGATGTTTTCTGCTCATCTAGAAACTCTGACCCCTCAGTCCCCCAGTCCCCACTCTTTGAGGCGAGTGGAGACGAGGTGAAAATGAGTAAAGTCATCTTCGTACCTACACATTTATCATAAATATAAAAAAAATTCTTGGGATTTATGTTCCTGATCGGGAGTTCGTCACTTGAAACAAGTGGAGATGTGAATTGTTAATAAAATGATAAAATACTTAGTAGAATGGATGTGTGAGCCATTCGTAAGCAACGGTCGCCACTCGAGGAATGACTAAGACCGGTCTTCGTACCCGACTTGGTCGGGGTTTTGTCTTCATGCCCGACTTGGTCGGGGCTTTGTGCATGAGGAGACAGGGCTTTGTGCCTGAGGAGTCAGGGCTTTAAATCCTAGTGATGAGTCTCAAATCACACCCTACTAGGCATTTGATCATAAGTGCGTGATAATGTGATATTTACCCGACAAAAAATGATTTAAATAAATATAAATAATATGAAAATTAAAGAGCACTTATCTTTTTGTAGTGGGCTGAAATATTGGATATGTTGCTGAATTTGTGGCCCATTATTATTGGAGAGAATCAGTCTTGGGCTTGATATAGTCTTGGCCCACAGCTCCCCCATCTTGGCCCAAGTTTCCGAGCGGAGCTTTAATAGTTGACTGAGTCAACTGGAGTCCTTGACGTAGGCCCTTTTGCAGATGGTGCCAGCAGGTCATAACTAGTTATCCTCATTGGAGCTGCCGGAAAGGATGGAACGCGGATCTGGATGCCGCCGACCAGAGAGCAGACGTCTTCGAAGGTCGTGCTTGATGCGTCTCCGTGGTCGTCGCTGGGGAAGAAGCGACCTTCGTCCAGCTGAGCCGTCTCCAAACAGAGAGGAGTGGGAGGCGCCTAAGAATAAGCGGCACTGGAACTGAGGTGGAAGAACGAGCGACGGTGCTGCGACTTGCTGGCCAGTGCGGTGGCAAAGTCCGATGCAACTGGCGTCCGGAGTCGTCTGCCGGCGAAGTGATTGGGTGGAAGGAAACAGGCGCGAGCGGTGGTGCTGCGATGCTGGTGGAGCCAAGAGCGAGCTGTCGTCGTCGTAAGCCAATGACAGGTGGAGGAGCTTAGCTTGCCTTTTCAGATCCAAAAGTGTAAGATTCCAACCTGGAAATTATAGCCGGCGGCGGGAGAGATCTGTGTCGATGGTGTATAGCCGGCTACAGGGGTGCTAGACCAGGAGTGGGGCGATGCTACCTGGGGGGGCTGGGATGCCGATGCAAGGTGACGGTTGCTCCGGGTCGCAGGTTCGCTGTAGAGCATGCCCCTGCTGTGGCGTCGCCGCTGGTGGTGGGCTGGGCTCCGGCCAGATCTACGAAATCCCAGATTTCTCATAGCAGATCTGTTCTTGCTGTATCATTTTTTTTTATTTTTCCAGAATAGTTTTTTGTGATTGGGAAGAATTTTTGGTTAATTGGGAGGTTTTCTCACTTGATTGTGTTCGGCTCTCAACGAGAGCACCATTGTTGGATAATTGATACCCATATCGTATAAACAGGAGAAATTGAACACGAATCAAAAGGAGTAATGGAAGTGTATAGAAAGAGTGAATATTTGTTATGGTTTACAAGCCTTACATAAGGGAGTATATATAGGAAAAATCCGGGTCTGGACCTCTAATATGGGCCTAACAGACCCGGTTACATAAATGGACTGATAGTATAAAAAACTAATCTAGAACATCTGAATAATAATAATAATAATGTACAATAATATTAATGATATCCGCTAAACGTGTGTGGGCCGCTGTCCAGGCCTAGTAGTCGGCATACCGGGGGGTCGGAGTCCATATAATCCATCACATAGCGTGCACATATTATATTTTTTAATTCGATCTTTAAAGAAAAGGATGACTTTATATGGTTGCATTGTGTAACACCGTCCCCAAATATATTTACTTTTAAGTGAATAATGTATTGAACCTTATGTGATGGTTAATGAGGTTACGAAGTTGTGAATTTTTATTAATGCTTTTGCGTGAATAGTAAATTTGCACGTGGGGCCCACGCCGGGAGTGGGGACCACCGATATTCCCGAGACCAGATATTTTATTCATCTTGGTTGTGATAATAATTATATAGTAGTGGATAATTTATTTGGTCCAAAGGAATGACATCATGTGGACCGATAGGCCAAAAGAGGCTCAAATACCGGTATCGGTAATTTAACAGATAACAGCCCGAAATGAATTTCGGAGGCTTATAAATTAAAGTCGGGGAATGTATATTCATTATAAGGGTCATAATGATTGGAAACACATGATATATTTTATTTGACCCAATAAAATAAAATATATTTAAAACAGTCCGAAAAATACAACTTTCGGAACCAATTGCACACATCGGGACACAAAAGGGGTGACCTCCCACATGAGTGGGGGCCACCCCACGTTTTTGTGTGCTAGATTAGACAAATTTGAGGCTGGTTGACTTGGAAGGAGGGAGGTGAGGTGATGAGGATCAAAGGTACACCCACCTATAACCCCATTTTCCTCACTCATTGGTCCAAAGAAGACAAAAGCCACCCATCTACTCTCACCACCTCCATTCATTCGACCACCACCCTCCAAGGAAGAGAAAACCTCCCAGAAATCTACCTCCTCCATATCCAAACTCGTGTTGCAACTCAACAAGAAAGGAGAAAGAAGTCTGAGGAAGAAAAGGGGAGGAAAAGTGTGTTGATTAAGGTAATGACCTTATATTAGTTTTTCCTTTATTCATTAACAACGATATGTCTTACATAGCATATGAGGAACCATTATAGTAGCTCTACATTCTTAAAAATGTAGAAGGAGGGGTTGAGAGGAAGTTCCAAGTCCAAGAACGGACATAGGAGCCAAAATAACCGGTTCACCGAAAAATAACCTTTTAGAGGTTATTTGTATTGATTAAGGCTTTATGATGTTAAAACCTTGTTAGGAACTTGATTTAAAGTATTTTTGAGTTTCGCCGGAGTTTCGCCGGAGTTGGTCAAAGTTCGATCGGAGAGCGTAGAACGCGCGTAAGCTCACTTAAGGTGAGGATACCGACTATATTGCTTATAATCTTTGGGTTAATTTCATGAGATTTCCTAAATGAATACAAAAATGTGATTTGCATGGATTATTAATGGTTAATAATGCCTAAATGAAATTACTATTGATTATAAGTATAGTTTGCATAATATACAAATTTATGAATAAATTGTGTATGTTTATATGTTATGAAAATGATGGTATGATAGTTGTATCAACCGTAAACCCCATTTGTGATAAGTATGCTTTTATTTCATGAGAAGAAGCCATGAAAGTATAAAAGTGATATTTTGATATTAAGGCCAATCTACACATGAATGAAGAATTATATTGAAATAAGTAAATAACTAGTATTAAAATATTAGTTGGAATTGTAGTTGAATAATGGATGAATGGATCCTAAGGAATTGAATTGTAAAGAATCGGTGATTATTGAACTGGGCTCTAGACCGGTGTAGATAACGGTGATTATTGAGCTGGGCTCTAGACCGTAGACCGTAGTAGACATCGGTAATTATTGAGCTGGGCTC